AGAAGAAGAAGAAGAAGAAGAAGAAGAAGAAGAAGAAGAAGAAGAAGAAGAAGAAGAAGAAGCTTACGTAGGACAATTCGTAAAAATATTATATTGTACGCATATTTGTGAATTTTTGGGGAACAAACGAAAAATTGTCTGCTAATAAGACATTGACTATATGAAAGAACGTTTCTTAGTGCACGTGTCATTCTCTATGAGGTAATATTTTTTAAAACCTGACGACCAATCTAAAAATTTCTCTGGGTCCAATTTTTCGCAGTCAAAGGGTTAATACTCGCTTTGCACTCGTTTGCATTTGAATCTACTTACATACCTCTCTCTGTAATTCTCCTATTAGGTAAACCAATAGTTTCTTGGGACCCATTGGGCCCACTATAGATCGGGTACCTTGGGATTGCTAAATTCGTACTGTAGCTGCGATTAAACATAGCTACAGCCTCTAAGGGACGCTGTACCCCGTAAATTTGCTAAAATTACTTTGAATTTGCGCACCACTGGCATACGGTCACCGTGCTTATCTCTCACCTTCGCGAGAAACTTCGACCTGAATTTCTTTAAAGGCTGGAGTACGCGTGGCCGTTTCGCGTTTCTCAAACGATCTTGTTTGCCTGCGAGAGAAAAACCGGGACGGTTGCCATGCGAGCGTCGACTTTTACGCACGCAACGCGGAGAAATTTTCCGTTAAACCAGACGCGTCGGCCTCTTTTTTTTATATATATATATATATATATATATATATATATATATATATATATATATTGGAATCGCTTCTTTGTCCTGACCGGAATCGCCTTTGTATGACACACCTTTCGTTTCGTTGCACAGTGGTGCCATACCCCGAACACGTGGCCGGAATTAAGGGGGGAAACCACGATAGGAGTCCAAGTATTAAATGTTTCTTGGCATAAATTTTTTTACAGAAAGGAATTTATGTAATGTTTTCATAACTTTGAAAATATTTTAGGTATGTTTCAAGGTACTTTTAGTAATTTTTTCAATTTATTTCAAACAGAAAGTTTCGAGATATGCCGTTTTTCTTTTAAACAATATTTTTTCAATCCGTGGCAACGATAACTTTACGTGATAACTCCAAAATTAATTTATTTGATTACCTTACTTTATTTGAATATCTCGAATATGAAGTAAACAAAATTGGATGGATATTATTGTTTAAAATATGTTTTTAATGCAAAGCGCTAAATTTGATATTTTTTTTTTAAACACTCCTAAAAAATTTAATTTTCTTTTCTTGCCATTCTAGGCCATTCCTTTTACTTACAATTAGTCAATATTTGAGAAAAAGCATTGAAATCCCCTTTTATCTAAATATGGAATTAGAAACGCCACCTATTAATATATTATCCATATATTAATTTAAAAAAAGAATTACGTAAATTATTACGTAAATATTATGATATAATGTAAACAAATAATTACATAAAAATGGGTTACGAATTATAGAGATTCAGGAATATATGGTTTCTTATACGCCAGAAGGATTTTTATTGAATAAAAATATTAGATTAATCTTCGTTGGAATGGAAATAAAATTGTTTCTATTTTTACTCAACACTTTACGTGATTTCAGTTTACGTAATCAATAATTTTTTACACAAATTATTAATCCGATTGTTGTGAGGTAGCATGTGGCAATATCGACATATCGTAATCCTTTGATCGTGCCGATAAATGGAAATGAAAAAAAAAAAAATTGCATACAGATAAACAAGGCAGTTCACCTTGTATAACATAACCTAAATGAATTTCGTAAGATTTCTTACGAAATGCGCCGATACGAATATTATACGACGTGATGAAACTTAATGGAATTTGAATTGTAATATGTAACGGCGTCTGGAAAATTAGTACTAAATTAAAGGTTGAG